AAGTTATAACCTTATAAAATGTGTACCTACCAGCAATTTGTATTCCTACAATAGTTCACAAAATTAAATTAAATTAACTTAACTTGTTTAAATATAAAATTAACTCAAGTTAATTCAAAGTTAATAATTCAAAAGCTCCTAAAGTTATTAATTAAGTTAATAAACATAAAAAAATAACTTATTAAGTTAAAAAGTTAAATTAACTTAACTTTAACTTATAAACGCGTTAATGCCCAGCCTTGGGTCATACTATAAAAAATATACGTATATATAATTATATTTTTAAAGTGATTGAAAATACACTTATTAGGAACTTATTTCACACATATAGTGTGAAATGTGTGTCTATGGCTAATAGCTTTTATCCTTTTACACGTCTAGTCGGGACTTGACACTTGCGGTGATACTCGGCTGCCTCTTGAACACGTTTCGGCTCAACCGGTCACCGGACGACGGCGACGTCGRCTTACCTACTGTATCAACGATCCTCGGTCTATCGAATTTGGTTAGCACGTATCTCGATGTTGTGTAACATGTTTTTGTGCTTAACCGTATTAACGTAGTTATATTATGCAAGCCAGTCGCTTTGCCGTCATCGACTCGATCGGATACCATCACGAAGATGGATTCGGTCACGGATTTTCTACTATGTATATACGTGGTGAATTGGGGCAATTCAACAATATTGTAAATTAATTATGCTAAAAACAAATTGAATGATGTTGTATGTATGTTCTTCATAGTTGGTTCTTTGCTTGAAATAAACTGTTTATGCTTCATTGAGTGAGATTTTTCAATTATAAATTCTAGACTAATTATTTTTTTCTCATTAAATTCACAACTATCACAWAAAAAAACGTACCCCTTAATATGTTTTATACTAATGAAATTTATTTGAGTTGGAACGTATGTAATTTATATATAGATACAAATGGTACAATAGCAATGATCACAAAACTTATTTAAATATTAAACTGGCAATTGACTAATTTACATTATTTTGAAAAGTATAACTATTACTTTATCCATCAGAAAAAAAGATACAAAAATTGAAATAATCTTTTATTATCAGACTCGATATTTAAAATATTCTCGCTGTTTTTATTTTTTTGTTATTATTTGATTATTAAATATTTTAATATTATTATTATTTTTTGTGCACAATCAAAGAATACTTTAATCTTTCTTATAATTGGCGGGAAATTGATTGAATTGATTACCTAATAATTATAATAACTACATAATATCTATATTTTATTATGAATACTTCTTACAAGTAGTCTAATTTACAATTATCTAACCATGAATATGTATTATTTTATACTATAATTTTTCTCCGTCGACTTTTGCGATACATCTTTATTCTATATCGTAGTTTATTTTTCGTAGTTTTATAACTTGTCTGTACTCAAAATATTTTTAAATAAAATAACTAGAAAAAATTACCTTTTTTTGGTGTATAATGCAAGTCAGATTAAATATTTAATACCTACAGACCAAATTTAAAATTTTAGTTATTTTATTGGTATTATTCACACAAACATTTAATTTAGAATCCTAAAATTAAGATATAAAAATCTACTCATATTATTTATCATCAGTTTAAATTTATATTGTGTATAGTTATTGTTTTAAGTTTAATAACTCATAAAATTAGAATTATACATTTTTTTGTATCTCAGTGTAAAGAGTCACATAATATTATATTTATATAAAACTGTATCGCATATAATTAAACAGATTTGCAAAATTCTTTTGAAGTTTTCGCAGGAATTAAAAAAAAATATCAACAGAGACTACTTTACAGTTTACACAAGGTTTAACTAGGCTATGCTGGGCCACCCTTGGCTGGGATATTTTTTATTGTATAAAAAGCCTTGAAGATAGAACTGCTTTCACCTCMAAGACCTTTATAAATTATTTATTCAAAAACATTACATTTTGAATGTGTCAATACGAATTGGATATTATAATCATGATTGTTTCCAAGTAGAGTTGATTGAATATACTGTAGGTATATAAGTATATTTGAACTAAAGAGTAGGAAAAATAAAATAAGTAGAGCTGGTCGGTATAAATGGTATAATATAATAAGGTTATAGACTATAGTTAGGTACCTATGTAGTCTATACCATTTATCCCTTCCACTAAGGTATTTCTAAATACTATGACAGACTACCTCCAACCTTCTAACTTCAACCAATTAAGCCCGATTCTTTAAACCTCTTAGGATATACTAAAAAAAATTGTACTTGAACTCCACCCCCCCTCCCCGACAGGGGTCCAAGGCAGTTTCCATGAGGAAGCACAGCTTACCCTAGAACAGCCTAGGTTTTAACCTGGCTTAACCTAAAGTAAGCTCTAGGATATAGCCATGCCTCTCCGAATAGCCTCTTCTATATGAGCATTTATCATGTTTGGTATTTCATTGTTCACATTTACTCTAAACGAATTTAGAGCTAGTCACTTAAGTTTCGAGGAAAAATCATCAGTATAAAAATTAATCAAATTATTATGCTTAGAATGTAACAGTGTACAAATGATAAAAACATATTACATATTATGTTATTCACATTTTTAAAAATATAAGGAATTCACGAATGTAAAAAAAACATAACAAATTTAAAAATTAATAAAGGACACAATATTTAATAATA